TGGCAGTATGCCCTTAATTCCTTGGTATCGCCACCCCCAGGAGACACTGCAGGAATGAGTTAACATGAAACGTGTTTGGAAATGGGGCTACACAGCAAGAAAATGTTTCCTCATTGCAGGAGTTATCTGGCTGACAAAGGCCCTCTGAAAGGGAAGTGGCAGAAGCCACATTGTTTGGTTTCCTTCAGAGCGGGTTAGATAAACCACCAGAAAATTTACTGTTGGGACGATCCTTTGTATGGCCCCACTGGGAACTGGTGGCCCCATATCTCGTGCTTGTAATTCTATTTGTCACCATCCCAAGTGAAGTTTCATGTTCAACCTGAATGTTTCTCTGTAGTGCCAAGCCAAAGCTTCATGCAAGTCCTTGAACTAGACCGTGAAGCAGATCAAAAGCCAGAGGGAAACACAGAGACTGGTTTGGCTTCCCTTTGAGTGCAGTGTAAAGCAAGGTTTGTGCATGTGCTGGACATGGGGAGCACTCACCCAAACCATTCCAAACCTTTTGCTCTTCTTCATTTTTAGTACAGGATAAAGAAGGACGGGTGAGGCAGACAATCAGGGGAAGCTATTCCCGTCTGTTTTCTTATTTGAAAAAAAAATCCCATGGCTCTAGTATTAAGACTGGCTCACTGGCACTTGAAGGAGGCTGTGCTGGAGCCCTGGAGGTGTTTAGCAGGAGTGACTGAAGACCAACAATGCCATTTCACTTTCAAAGAGTCAAATTGCATTAGAAGCAACACTAATGTGAACGCTTCCATGTATTTCCACAGACACAAAAATCGTGTTGAAATGTTTATTTTTTAGGTAAAACCTGTGTTTTATCAACAAGTATGTCCCTGTTGGCAGAGAGCACACCAGTGCTATGGAGTCAGTCGTTATTCTCTGTGCCACAGCTGAGCAGCCATTTGCAAAATGTCCTTAACTATATTCCGTTTCTGATCTTTATCCTGCAGCTGCAAAGATCAGGACACTTGTTTGTGTCTCTAGCTCTCTGCTTCTCTAAAGCCTCCAGTGCTCGCTCTCTCCTTCATTCCTGCAGTATCAGGACAAGACAGAAGAGTTTAACTCCCTTTCCTCACCTTAATCGCTATCCCAGGGCGGATCAGGCACTTTCCCTCCACCCCCTTCAGATGCTCTGTTCAGCCACTGCCTGGGTGATGACACCCGTGTGAAGATCAGTTATGGCTGTGGACGAGGTAACCTTTTGAATTCAGGCACCAAATGGTCTGTCTGGGTGACAGGAGCCCAGCTGTGCCTGAGCCTGCCCGGCAGCCTGGGCTCCCGGCCTTCTGATCCCTCCCTGTGCCACAGAGAGCATTTCCATGCAGACACGAAGGCAGCACAAGTTGGAAATCAAAGCTCTGCTCTTCATTCCTTCCGTGTTTTATTAATTCTTTTTCTGAGGGTGTGCTTCAGTGCTGAGGACAAAGAGTTGGCCAAGGAATTAACCCAGGACAGAAAGGAACCCCTCCAAAAGGAAGCGGAGATCGGCAGAACTGCTCCTCGCTGAGCCGCGGAGGAACGGCCGTGCTGGGTCCCCCCTGCGGCACGGCCACCCCCGGCCTCGACCCCCTGGGCCAAACCTCGTTCCAGTGTAAGGGGACAAAACCACAAGTGGGCACTGGTGATGAACTTGACTCGCCTTTTGGCTTTACTTGAATTTGATCTATAGTTTCTCCTTCCTATAAGCACCTTTGGGAATTGTATCTGCAGGCAACTGGCAGGATTCACGTTCCAATCTCAAACTCCTTCTGACCCACTGTGTTCTGACTTACAACTCTCAACAGCCTTTTCAGTGGGGATTTCAGACAGGTTCTCTGCTGGTTTTGGCTCAAGAGGCAAAAGGTCTCCAACAAAAAGCAGATGCTGAGAAAAAAAAACAACCCCAAAACTCAGCAATCACGAAAATTGTATTTAACAGCCCGAGCAGACAGTTTAAAGGCCTGTTCTTCTGGGTTACTGTGTCCTGAGCTGGGGTCACAGTAACACAAAACTGTGGCTTTTCCAGAGTGCCACAACAGCTCAGACACCTTTGAGATGCATGTGCTACAATGAAAATGATTAAGATGGGGGGGGCCTTCAATTTGGAAAAATAAGGAAAAGCATAATACACAGCCCTCTCCTTTGTAGTGAAGTCAGGAGAGAAGTCAAGGATGAAATGGCCACTGAGTGCAGAGTATCGTCTCACTGGCCGTGAGAAATGCAGGTGGGAGGAAGCTGTCCCATGCTCTGCACTGTGTCTGCTTTGGAGACAAACCCGCTTCACTTCCAGAACGAGTCCCTCTCACAGATTTTGCCGGAAGCTTTCTTGAGAGAATCTTTCCAGAAAGGCAAGATCGACAGGAAGATGTGAAGCAGTTGGGAAACGTGTTCTGCTATCCCTACCAGCTCCCCTGAGCTGTCAGACAGGAGGTCCCTGCAGCCAGTGTTCTTCCACTGTTTACTACTGATGGCCAGAGAACTCGAAAACAAATTCCCATTGACAATCTATTATCACGTGCAGCTGGAAAGGGCTAGTGCTTGGGACTTGTCCAAGCAGCTTAGAGCACTAAAGGGCGAGGACTGGCTTCCTGTGGCTCTGACAATCCTCTATTCCCCCTCTGCTGAGACCAGCACAATGTGGCTGGTTGATCCTAGCCCTGGAGATATCAGCTGGCCTTTAACTTCTGAGCTCCCCGTGATCCACCAACAAAATCCCATACAGAAGGTTAATACAGAGAAATATTAATATAGAGAAAAGTGGTTAAACTGCCTCAGGAAAATAACACCAAAGCAAAGCATTCATCCTCATGATTTATCATGGATATTTGAGTAGCACCCAGAGCTGCTGCTGTGACCTTTTGTAGAGGACACGATACAAGCTAACCTCTCCCTCCTCACTTAGACTCAAGACGTGACACCTGGGCAGAGGGAGATGGAAGTAAGAGTGTCAATAGCTGCACTGATCAATATTGTCTCTAGTTATAAGCTCAGTGTGCTGATAAAAATAAATGAACTAGAGATGCTGACAAATCATTAGCGTTTGCCTAATCATTATCCTCAGGCAGCTTTCCACAGGCAACAGATCAGCAAGTTGCCTGCCCAGCAGACTGTCACCAGCTCTCTCCAACGATGGGCAGTGAGCTGTCTAGTGCACGTGTGTTTTTGAAGGCTCAAAGACAGACATGTGAAACGTGCCGAAAACTCAAGTGCAGGAATCAAAAAGTAACTAGAACTACAACTGCCAATATTTTTCTCTCTAATAGGTTTGCTTCCATCTTAATGCATGAAGGAACTGAGTCCCCTGGAGACACAGGAGAAGGCATATAAAAGCCTGTGTGCCCAGGTACCCCCAGCAGCAGCCTGCTCCGCGGAGTAACAGCACAGACCTAAAGGAAACAGCAGTACACGGAGCTTCGCTCTCCCCCATCACCAGCCTTCCAGGCCCTGCCAGCCTCTTTGGCAAATACTGCTTATTTGTAGGCTACAGCCGTATTGTTACAGCATTTCAGGCAGCTCTGGCACGCGAGGCTTGAGACCGCTCTTGGCACTCTTGGGGCCCCCCATGCCAATATTCTCTACCTTGGACTTCAGACTGATCTCCTCTTCCAGTCTCTCTCTCTCTCTCCAGGCGGCTGCCCAAAGCCAAGCCTGACTCACCGTGGCTCCACGCCAACAACATAACGTTTACACTGTTGCTACAAAAATGATTGGCAAAGCTGACTTTTCCAGCATCAGGGACTTGTCCAAGGAGAGGGCAAACAATATGCACAGACGTGAACTGATCATGACGACTTCAGAATTACAAATGTAACGTAAATGCAGAGCTTGGCACAGGTTACATTTTGAAGGAAAACTGCATTGTCATTTTAGCTGGCATCTTGCAGCTGCAAATCACTCTGGTTTTATTAATTGATGGGTCATCGCAGCTTGTGCGGGGAAACACCCTCCCTGCCTTACAGCAGGGAAACCGAAGCAGAAGTAGATTGAAGTATTCTTGTGGCCCAGCAAAGCCTGCAATTTCTAAACTTGTCAGCCTGCCGAGACCGATATTGCAAATGAAAAGGACTCGTGCTAGCCAGGAAACGTGTTAATCTTTGTACCTGCCTGCAGTACAAACGCTCCTTCGGATCACTGGATTCTGCCATGGATTTTCTTTCCAAGAGGGGACCCCGGGGAGCTGCCGCTCCCTGGCCAGACCGCGACGGCCTCTGCTAGCCCCGTGAGGCAGGTCTGGTCACAAACCCAAACCCTCCCCCGCTCCCCCGACACGGGGCGCCGGCCCCGCTCCGTGCGGTGACTTTCCGTTCCCGGGGCACTCAGAGGTCACCCCCTCCCCAGGGGGGGGTGTTCATCGACCCAGGCCAGCCCGAGACCCCCCCGAACTGCTATGAGCCCCCCAGACACCCCCAGGACAGCCCCCTGCCCCCCAAAACTGCCCCATCCTCCAGCTCTCCCACCGCCC